ACATATTCTTCTTCATTCTTCTTGTTTTATTATTTTTTATAATATGTACATTATAATATCCTCTGTAGTAAATTACGTTTTTAAAAACGAAACATTTTGCGCAATTTCTTTTGTATTTTAATATTTTAGATTTAATTGTTAATTAAATTTCTTCAAATTTTTAATGCACTTGTAATTCTTTTCGCATAAAGCGATGGCTAGAAGAGAGAATCCACATTTGCTAGGTATTTTTTTATTATTATATTATTTTTACAATATGATAATAAAATGACATGTAACGTTAGCAATGTCGCCCGACTTTTAAAGATGTACTACGAAGTGGATTTACAATTTCAAAGAAATGTTCCAGGAAAAACTGAAAGTGCGACAACGGGAGAAGAAATCTAAAAGAAAGCTATCGAAATTATAAAATGAATCATCGTACACGTATGTATCGATCAAAAGATATCAAACTAATCTTCGCATTCATGAGATACTCTTGCGGATGATATCGGACCATGAGAGCATTGCACCAACATCCAATCAAACAGAAACTCAAAGCTCGTCTTGAGTTTCGTTACGCGATATACTATCTCTAGTTCAATGTAATATCCGCGAGAACGATGAGAATACAAATTAAAGTTTTATATCCCGACCTGGACGTTAGACAGCCGTCTGTTAGATAATAGAACGATGTGTAATTCTAGCGGCATAATGTTTCATCGCCCATTGAGTTTTACAAGTGTATTGCGAATTGAAGCGGATTTACGTAGTGAATTTAATGTAACGTTCTAAAGAAATGTTCCAGGAAAATATCAACAGAGGTGTATTATTTAGATAACATTGTCGTAATAAGCAAGAATAGACAATCTGATTCGCATAGAAAGTTAATGGACTGATACATTTAACATCAATTCTCGGAGTAACCCCAACAATTCGCAATTATAAATTCGCATTTTTAAAAATATTTTATAATTTATAATTTTTTTATATTTTTTATCACAACATTACGAAAATTTCAAATTTTCTCTATGGTTTCTGTAAATCTATCTGAAAATTTGCAAATATTAAAGAGGATATAATTTCATAAGAGAATCGTTTAATACGACATGGAGAGAGATAAGAGGTTTATTTAAATCTATTAGCTCTTTAACATGTAATTCAACAGTTTTGGATGAATGAAAGATTTACATCAATTTGTATAATTTACGTTAGAAAACTGCTGGAAGTTAAGACAAGAGCGAGAATAATTTTGTTATGTCCGAGCTGTCAGAACCGGGCACATTGTCGACGCGGAACAATCGCCATGTTCCACGCACGATTACTCGAGAGGTTCGCACGGTAGTTATCTACTCGTACATGTCGAATGGGAAATCGATCGTTTAACGTGCTCGAAACTTTCAACGAGAAAGAGAGTTCTGCTGTGGATTGTCGTCCACGTCCATAGGTAGCGGGCAGCCGAAAGAAATTCGATTAACACCGCGATACAGAAACGTTCGTTTCAAAATGTCACTCGCGCCAATGATTACACGAATTGCAGGCAATATTGAAAGTACCACGAGCTGCTGAAGCGACGTGCTAAAATTTCAATGAAAGCTCGATAATCATATCATTTAACTCGATTAATCAACTAGAAAATTCAGAGACTCCCTTTAGAAACTTGACAACTTTTCGTATAAGCGTATAATAATATTATATGTGTCTGTCATCTTCAAAATTATTACAAGTTTGAATAAGAAACATCATAAAAGTCAAGCAATTAATTTAAATAAAAGCATAATGTTGCAAAATGTTGCTTTTATTTTTCACTTTCCGTTGTATTTTTATATAAAAAAATATAAATAAAGATATATTAATACATAATAAATATAACTGATTAATAATTGATATAATTCAATGTAAAATATAATTATGTAAATTTTACAGAAGAAATAATACATAATTAAATATATATTTTATATACACAAAAAATAAATTAAATATATATTTTATATTCACAAAAAATTATTTATCAATTATTATTAATTATAACCAAAAAGTTACAAGTATGAGAATTATTCTGCGAAAATTATCTAATGAACAAGAGAACTCTCTTCATTTAATAAACAAACTAAATCGCTGTATTTTCGTTGTATTAAGAAAAGTTTCTAAACTCATAACATCTAAAAATTTTACGGGAATAAACTTTCTTAATTTATCATTAAACTCAATATCATTAAACTGTCGCAAAGTTATGATCAATAAGATAGATATGATTTTTGTAAATCTTAAATTTTTTTCTTCACGTGGTATTATTGCGGCAAAACTGTATTTTTGTTTTCGTGCAACAAGTGTAATGTTTACACTTTGTAATTAAATTAAATTTATTTACACGTAATTTCATTGTAACACAATATTTCGCGCTTCAACCTACTTGCAAAATATTAATCAACGAACTAAATAGATTGTTATGAAACTTGCGTGTCTCTCGGCATTAGCATATTAATTAAATTCTATGTATCCCTTGTGTCAATTGTGTCGAAAACATCGGTCAAGTGTATTCAATGATCAATGGCCCGTGTGAGATAAACGAAATCGCATAGTGTAAATATATTGAATGCGCGCTGCGATTTATCGCTCACCGAATCACGATTATACGGCGCCGGTTTTGATAGAAAAAAAGTGAACCTTTAGACAAACGAAATTTGTGTAAACGCCTGGGCAGACGTGAAGAGAGTGCCGAACCGTACCGTAAAAGTGGGATCGAAAAGTACGAGCGGGAAATAGCTAATAACGAGGTAGAAGCCGTGAAGCGATGGTGGAACGAAGCGAGACGTATAAATCCCGAAACCCGGGATAAATCGCGACGCAATATCGAAGGATCCAATATACTCGATATATACCCGTCGAAGCCATATAGCCGCAGGTTTGTTTTCCGTTGGCTCTATTCGTTCAAAAAAAAAAGTTTGATGTCGAATGCTTGTTTTATTATCGTGACGTTTATCGTTCCGCGGAATTGTACTGATCCGCGCATTTAATCTCGCTTATCAAACAATTATGGCACGCCCGTAAGAGCGTGATAATGATTCACCCATCAGCTGTTGACCTCCGAATATAATACCCTAATCGTAATTTTATCATATTAACTGGTTGAATTAATTATGATATTAATTCAACCAGTATATATATATATATATATATATATATATATATATATATATGTGTGTGTGTGTGTGTGTGTGTGTGTGTGTACGCATAATGTTAGGTATATATATATATAATTAGATGTGAAATTAAATAATATTTGTAGTTAATAATAATTATTAATAATTGTGTGAAAGAGAAATATATTAATTTCTAATCTATACCACGCGATCACTATATCCCGTGATATATATTATTATTATATCAGATTTAGAAAATTCATTTTTCAAAAATCATTCCATGCAATCGAATAAGCAATGAGATATTTAATAATATCTTATAGCAATTTTACCGTACAAACATCATAATGTTACGCGAGTTTGTTCATTTGTTCAATGTGTTGACGTAATAAAATAATGAAATATTGAAGAAACATTTCTCTTGCCGATATGTACATAAGAAAGTTTTTTCTATAAATAGAAATATAAACATACTCGGAAAATGAATGCAGATCCAGCCTTATTTATACAGGGTTAAATTTGGCAAATAAATGGCGACATTAATTCTCGAGTAAGAAACGTCATCGTAAGTGAATAGATACATATGTAAAAGAATTATAAAGAGGCATAGAAAAATAAACATGGAAATGGCAAATAGGATGAGTAAAACGGAAAGACGAGGAAGACAAGGGATATGGAAGAATTGTGAAAGAGAAAAAGAGAGAAGATGAAAAAAAGTACAAAGAAGGAGGATGTTTTTATGAGATGTAAAAGAATCATATATAAAACGAATTATTTATATTTCTGAAATTAAGTAAGAGGTAAGTTACATACACGTTCCATTTCCTACTAATTCGATATTTAATTCTATTTCATGGATCACTGCGTACAAAGCCCTGCTGCGCTCTTATATAATTGCAATTAAATATGGTATCAATTGATAATACTGTAATATTGATCCACAATATTAATTGGTTGATATTACAGATTCACATGAGCGCACCCTTTGTGTTTGCATATAATATTTATATATAATATATATAATATATTTATATATAATATTCGCTGTGCTTCGTAAAACTATGTGCACAGAAAATTTAATCAAAGTGAATCTGCCCGCGACAGAGCGGAATCTGACGATGCGCGAGACACACAATGATAAATAATAGACCTGTTCTCCGCGGGCAGCGTTTTCAATTTTCGCATAAATCAGAATTAGCGCGCGCATGACGCTAAATTAATATCCATATACTTTTGACTCGCGGCGTTAATATCGATAAAGTGTAAAGGTTGAGTTCGCAATAGACGCTGACGCGGTTTATCGGATTATCACAATCGATCGGTGTAAATAAATTTTATTATTTATGCTACATTCGTGATAACAAAACCGTGCAAATTGGCTGATCGTAAAACAGCATATGTAAACGACATACACAATGTATATGTATGCACAGATTTGTTTTGGCACTATTATTGAATCATAGATCGTTAGCAAAATTCTCAGATAAAGGAGCAATCGCGAATATCCAAACTACTTTCGGAGTCAATTTACATCAATTCTTTAAAGTCATCGTGACTTTTTGATTGTGACACGGTACACTTATCGATAAGAGTTGTAAACGATAAGAGAGCTGTATTGAAATTGACAAGTATGGAAAACAAATTTGTTTTCATACGAATAACTTTTATCCCGCGCGAGATCACTCCTCTTAAATGTATACAATTGTACACAATATTAAATTAAATATTAAATGTAAAATTTATATTAAATATAAAATTGATCAATGCCAAAGAAAAATAATGTGAAATAAGTTTAGCCAATTATTTCCCGAGAAGACGCAATCTTGGATCCTCCTTGAACGCGGTCGGAAGTTCGAAACGCGAAGGGAAGTCACTTACTTGTTGAATTTGCGGAGAATCCGTGGAAGAACCGGCCCGTGGGAGAATCCTGGATTAATACTCTCTCTCTCTCTGCGATTCTTTGCCAAAAATAAAGGAGCGAGTGCAACGCGCGAGGACGAAACTCCTCTTCTCAAGACAAACGTGAAGGTACGCGAAGGGCGACTTTGCCGATGACTTCCGGCCTCGATCGAGTCCTCGATATTGAAATCGTCCGAACTGAGGAGATGAGAGGAATGAAATCGGCGAAGAATAGCGATGGATACCGATGGATAGCGATGAGGGCCGTGAGGGTGACCTGGACAGGCGTCTTTAACAGGTGGCACGGCGGAGTTCCTCACTGTCCAGAGTGCTAACGACGTGTGACGTCGACGCCTCGGTGCGAGAGGGCTTTTATAGCCGGTCGGTGCCGCCGACTCGACTCGACCTCCACTCGGCAGTCTCTGCTCGACTCGGCGCGACCTTCCTGCCTGCTTGGAGACTTTCTTGGCCCTATCAACTGATTTGTCATTACACCCTCCACTCCCGAGTCCGCCACCCTCCTCTTTCTCTCTCGCGGTACCCCTCGCAACCACCATTTGTCGTAGGAGGGAAAGGATCCATAAAGAGAGACGTGCGATTTCGTTTAACGATGCGCGCTCACCCCTAAATACTTTCCGTTCTCACCCCCTCTCCTCGCGATTCTCTCGCAAAAATAATAAAGGATTGAATATCTTCCTTGTTTATGTCTTTTTTAACTCTACCTTGCGCCTCGTCGCGCTTTTATTTTAATATATCTTTTTATGATTTCTTTAAAGCTTATATTGCTGTTGTTTAATAAATGACAGGCAATTGGAACTTTTTTAAATTATTTTATACATATATATAATGTATATACAGCATTTAAAATATTTAATTATTATTACTAAATATTTAATTATTACTAATTATTTATACACTATATATTATTTAAATATTATTACATAGCAGTTTGTGAATTTTCCTTCTCATTCATCTTTTTTATAATAAATAAAATATTAAAAAACGAGTATCAACGTCAACGCGCGAGAAATGATGTAATTATGTAATTCAGGAAACTGGTCTCTGCTCTCGAAAAAAAATAAATTTCTTTCATTCATTTCGACATTATACAAATGAGGTAATTTATAGAGCTCATTAGGGAGAGATTGTTCTTTAAAATATAAATTTTCCATCAAGTTATTTTACGTCTATTCATGAAGATCTGTATTATTTATAATTACAAAATGAGAAACTTCAAGTGTATACAGTTCATTGTATACAGTTCTCAATTAATTTATTCATCATATTAATTAAACAATTAACTTGATTATACCCAAGATATTTTCTTTGTAGATTTTAATTCTTTGTAGGTTTATAAATAAATGAACATCATTTGAAATGGAAACGAAATATTTAATTATTTAATCAATCATGATATTAATTTAATCAACCTATTAATTTTGCTCTTATCGAACCCACATGAAAATATGGAAAATGTATATTGGCGTGGGACGAAATTACCGAACAAATCGTAAGGAATGATACATCTTTCTCCCTCTTCCTTTGATTATTTTTATTTGTCGTTCAGTAACAATACCCGTAAGAAAATAGCTGCGGTATACAATAGCCTATTGTAAGAATATTTCTACTTCAAAGTAAGCAATCACGGGATAAAAGAACGGATTGAAACGTAAATTATCAACAAGAATGAGTAAATGGTGATGTGCGCGAATAAATACGCTGTAAAGTGTTTAATTTTATAGGAGTAATTTTTAGGAGCGCTTTCCCTATAAAAAAAATTGCTAAATACTTATTGCATACGATCCCAATAGATAGATAATATTAGATATAAAAAATATATAATGCAAAAATATGTAATAATATTTACATTAATAATGCTGTTTACACATGCTGTCGAAGTTTATCTATATATGAAGAGCTAGCGGCGCTGATTATGAAAATGCAACATCTGCACAAGCACGATAATCAAGTTAACTGGATTTACGCCAGAATTCGTTCTAGTTACCATTCAATTTCGAATACGGTAATGGAACATTCTACTTGTTGCCGGAGATTTTATTATTTAATATTTTCCACTACATGTATGTAAATATATTCATAAAGAACGTCGAGATGATATTTATAAATAATATAATGGTATTTTCGTGAAATTTTAATGACACACTCTATTATATAATAACGACATTTAAAAAATATTATATACATTGTCACATATTTCCGTAAATCTTTCTTTTACACATAAATCAAAAAAGATAAGTTAAAAAATATTTTAATAATATTTTTACGGCAATAGATAAAAATATGTGAAAAATATTTTCCCCTTTTTTTGAGTACAAAAAAACCGTACAACATCCGTTGATTTTAGTTCATGAGACACAGTGATAACAAATCGTGCAAATATCCAGGTTAGTAAATAATAAAATATGGAAAAAATCGAATCACGTGTGCGCACAGTCTCACAAAGAAATGTGTGTTCAAATCTAGAAACAAGATATTATGTCGTTGTAAAAGTTTATCACGAAAAAAATTTGAACATTGTAAAGTACAGTCAGCGAGGATTAACATTAAGATTAATATTAAGACTCGAATAACAGGAATAACGGATGATTCTTCGTCTAAATGACGCGATTTATATATAAACGCCATGTCATTCATTAATCCAACGGTCGATGATAAGGTCCACTTAATGGTATGGCAACGAATATATCGTCGAAACCGCCACTCGCTGCATCGTGAAATTCCACCCTAAAGTAATTAAGCAGCGCGTCATCGAAGTGCAACTTTATGATTGCGCCCAACGTCGTCTGGCCATCTCTGCTATTAGCACTCTCGTCCGGACTCTGTCCTAGAGCTCTCGATGTCGATATCAGAAATTGATATCAGCAACGATATGGACGAGCACATCGATAGATATAATGTTGCACATTTTTTTTCTAATTATCGATTGTACATATTTGCTCACATTCCTCAGAAGCACTACAATTTTGTTTTGTTTATATTCTGATTATTATACACATATAAATTCAATTTTAAGGGAATTAATCTATCAAAAGAATCAGAAGAATCTCTCTCTCTCTCTATCAATTAAAATATTGTTAACATTATTTGTTGATTGATTTACGTAAATGGTGATCTAAATGATCTATCACTAATTAAGAACCTATATAAGACAATCAATTATTTGAAAAGATGAATAATTGTCCTATTGCAGTGCCTTGAAAATCAACTGGGTTTCGCAGTGGAATAACTAATCGTCTGAACCGGCGTTTGATCGAATCCTATCAAATCCAGAATTATGAAAACAAAATAGGCGCCAGATCTCGTATTCGAAAAAGAGTAACGCAATACAATCTCAATAACTATCTTCAATCAATTTATATAAAGATTTTCAGAATATTTATTAAAGAAATTACTGCATATTTCTTGAAATTAATTATCTATTGAATTAACACACGCAAACATATCACGATACTTTTGAAATCAGCATGAGAATTTCTTTTAGAATCTACAATATTCCAAGACTACGAAATAAATGTTTCGTTTTAGCCAGTATATTGTAAAAAGAAATACAGGATACGCAAAGAGCATAAAAGGAAATAATTTATTAATTTAATTACAATAATCGACAGAAACATATCATACGTGAGATTGCTTTACAAGAGGTGAATATCATACATGACAAAGCATCTAACTAAAATAAAGAAAAAAGCATACTTCCTCGTTCTTCTATAGTGAAAAAATAAAAGATTGTTATAACACTTTAACATAACAGAGAGCTTTGTTTTTAATTAATTATTATCTTACATTCGATAATATAATATAACATAATATAGTATATAATCGATATGATATATAATCGATATGATACTGGCAAAATGACAGACACAATCAAGAATTAATTAAAAATTTACAATATATTGTTTAAGAACAAAATGTAAAAAAACAAAAAAGAATTCACAAAGAAGTTTTTTTTTCGAAATTTTAATGATTCTGCTTTAATCCCTTTCAATCCAAGATTACATGAAATTAGACGGCAAATTCCGATCGGATGCTACATGCACTTAAATACCACGACGTATGTATATGTATAAGTGTGTATGTGTATGTGAGACGAACAAAAGCGTAGAACGCTGCACTCGACTTTTAGCGATCTACGAGGCAGATGTCGGATTAAAAGCAGAATTAATTAACTCACGTGCATATACTTCACCTGCTCGTATGTGTTTGAGTTCGCGTGAGCTATCGATATTTTATTCGCACGTCTATTTTATTGAATCGTAATGAACAAAGGAGATCGATCATCCATTTCATTCGATTTCGCTGCGAGATTATGCACGACTCTTTTTTGTCAGATGAAAAAAGCTTGCCCGTGCGTTAACGAGACGCAACCTACGCGCGGCCAACGATGTCTGTAAAGGCTTTGTAACGCGATGTGTCGCAAACGGATAAAAGATAAATTTCAAGAGATTTTCGATGTTTTATATTCGACTTTGAATTTGGGATTGATTCTACCCTAGTAAATATTTCATTATGAAACAAACTTTTTTATATCTCATAAATTCAAGAGAATAAAATATCATAACTTATTAATTAATTTAATTTATTAATTAAAGAAGAAATTCTGTACAATAATAGAAATTTTATTCAAAGGTTAATTGTTCAAATATTTAATGTTTGGAAAAAGGAAGTTTAATTTCAGTTAAAAAAATATCTACTTGGAATCACTATCTAAAAAAATATACATGTAGAAATAAGTTGGGAAAAATTGAAAAGTAAAATTAACATTCTTTATTTTCCAAAATATATTATTCTAAAAAAATTTTATTCATAAATAAATATAAATCTGAATTTCTTTTAGTTTTGGAAAAGCTTAATATTATTACACATATAGCTTAATATTTATTACACACTTTTCGTAATTTTGAGATACATCTTGACATTGAAAATAATAGGAGAAGAATATAAACTTTGCTTTTATACGTGTAAATTCTTTTGCAAACATAGATTTTGCGTCAGAGAAATAATAGCCTAACGTTAGCATAAATATTATAGCAAATATTGCTATAACATTTACGTGCGAAAGCACTTAACATTTCGAGAGCCACGCACTCGGATATCCGTGGCATTCGACTCGAAGCATCGGGCGAGCCCAGTGAACGCATAATGGAAACGAAGCACAAGTGGATCGATAAACGCAATCAGACCGTCAATGAGAACTACATCGTCCGTGTGTCCGAATTAATTGTTTCGACTACTCTTGTTCCGATGCGACTAGCCTTTTGTCGATTTCTTTGTTAAATATATTGCCATTTCGAAACCGTCACAATGGTAATGTCTGTTATTGTCCGGAGACGAGCAGG